ATTTTATTGCAACGAAAGTTTAACATGTCTGCTATCTATTTCAGTCGAAAACAGAAATTCGGATTTTTGAAAATGTTTGGAGAAATACGACTTTGAAGTTTCACCCAAAATTCCGAGAGGAAAATGGCATATTTCTTGGTTTGGGGAAAAAGTTTGAGACCAAAAGTGCTGTAACTGGCAGAGATTCCAAGATAGGAAGCTGAAATTTGGAACACAGCAACTTCAGATGGGTGTGTACCTTCAGTGCAAATTTCAACTTTATATCTCTGATAGTTTTCGGATGGCAGCCTGTTAAAGTTTTGGTCTTCACCCCAGCCATTACTATAAGACTCTATAGGCGGACCGCCGACCCCCACCCCCTCACTAAAATGGCCAGAACTTCGCCAATTTTGGTTCCAGAGGTATAATTTTTATTGCAAACGAAAGTTTAACATGTCTGCTATCTATTTCAGTCGAAAACAGAAATTCGGATTTTTGAAAATGTTTGGAGAAATACGACTTTGAAGTTTCACCCAAAATTCCGAGAGGAAAATGGCATATTTCTTGGTTTGGGGAAAAAGTTTGAGACCAAAAGTGCTGTAACTGGCAGAGATTCCAAGATAGGAAGCTGAAATTTGGAACACAGCAACTTCAGATGGGTGTGTGCCTTCAGTGCAAATTTCAACTTTATATCTCTGATAGTTTTCGGATGGCAGCCTGTTAAAGTTTTGGTCTTCACCCCAGCCATTACTATAAGACTCTATAGGCGGACCGCCGACCCCCACCCCCTCACTAAAATGGCCAGAACTTCGCCAATTTTGGTCCCAGAGGTATAATTTTTATTGCAAACGAAAGTTTAACATGTCTGCTATCTATTTCAGTCGAAAACAGAAATTCGGATTTTGAAAATGTTTGGAGAAATACGACTTTGAAGTTTCACCCAAAATTCCGAGAGGAAAATGGCATATTTCTTGGTTTGGGGAAAAAGTTTGAGACCAAAAGTGCTGTAACTGGCAGAGATTCCAAGATAGGAAGCTGANAT